TTAGTTTGCTTCCTATTTGACGGAAAGACCATACCCAACGTTGATGGGGCTGGTTATCTGAGACATAATGCTTTGCCTACAGCTTGATCAAGAGAGGAGTGTCCCAAATCTTAGGTCCCATGTTGTTCCTTATCTTCATTAACAGCCTACTTAAAAGTGTCAGCTTAAGTATAAGATTTGCCTATTTGCCAATGATACATCCCTCACTCTTCTTTGCAGTGTGGAATACTTGGAACAAAAGGCATTTTTAGATTCGAACAGTCATTGTGTGCAATGGTGTTGTGAAAATCAGCTGATTTTAAACAGAGAAAACTCAAATGTTGAACTTTCACATGTCTAATAGGTCATCGTCAGCAAACAACTGTGGCCTTAACGTTCTTCTAGAAGACAAAGTTTTGACCTCGTCCCAAAATGTTGAGTTTCTTGGTTTGATATTGGACGAAAATCTGAAATTTCGCCATCACATTGAAAGTGCAACCAGTAAAGTCTCCAATGGGGTTTTTGTTCTTCGAACTCTGAAGCAAAAGGCTGGTAGTGAAGTACTTCTGTCTGCGTACTATGGCATAGTATTTCCATATCTATTATATGTTGTATCTGTCTGGGGAAGTGAAAACCAAAGGACTCTGCTAATGTTTCGTCTCCAAAAGAAGGCTCTAAGAGTAATCTTCTCCCTCTCAAAAAAGCAATCTTGCAGGGAAATCTTTAGGTAGTTTAAAATTTTAACATTTCCTTCTTTGTACATTTTGGAGACGCTGTCAGTTGTTAAAAAAGAATCATGACATGTTTGATGTTTTTGTTGTCACAAGTATTCTCTTTGGCACAGTAACAACATTCCCATCCCCAAACACTCCATTTCATTCTTCCAACATCATTTTCAGTACAGCGCTACAAAGCTGTACAATAGCCTTCCTCTGGGGTTGTTGACCGAGCAGGATCACCAGACTTTTAAAAGAGCAGTGAAGGGACTGCTCTAGAATGGGATTTAATACAGCGTCCGGGATTTTTTAGCTGGTAGTCATAACAGCTTGTAAATAGTTTTACAAATGTACTACCTACATAAGAAGTTTTGTATTTTAGTTTATTTATTTTGACATGGCTAACACTGATTGTATTTGTTTAATTTAGCTAAATAAATTACTTATGACTTATTGTTTTTTGTTACTGCTGAAGTGAGATTTATTTTTGTCACCTAAAAACTGTAGACTTTTTCAAACTTGATAAATTGACACACTGGGCAAGCCACTTTTCCCTCTCATTCTAAAAAGTGCCACTTTGCTCACTAACTGCGCAAATAACTACAAAGACTAATAATATCTAACTCGATGGAGACAACTTTGCTGCATTGATAAAATTTTGCAATGATAGTTGTTTTCATAGTAAAAAAATCATTACTAATGCATTAGAATATTAAAGCAAAATTTCATTATAGATGATACAATTTGAAGTATTTTGGGAAACCCCCAAAAGATAGACATCATTTTACATTGATTTGTTTTTGTTAGCACAAAGCATTTAAACAGACTACTTTATAACTAGCAAGTATACGAGACCTTCGCCTTGCCAAATGCTTCCGAATCGTACAGAGCATAGCTGAACTGTACCCGGCAAAGCCTATTAGGTTTCCAGTTTGAAAAATGTTTAAACATATATAATTTTTCCTAATGATCTGTGTCACTAGAATTTTTTTTATGAAATTGATATGAAATGCCAAAATGCCCAAAATATGACATAGTCTTGGGAAATTTACCTAATTTCATTTGCTATTCACAACTTGGACACTAATTTTCAGTTTTAAATTGAAATTTTTATTTATAAATTGTACTTTGTAAATTTTCCAGAAGTTTTTATCTGTTGAAAATTTATATTAAATTACATAAATTTGCCTTGTGGATAGAGGTAGGCCTAGTTAGAATTTTTTTTACAAACGTATCAACAAAAACTATAGCTTATTATTGAATTTGTAGGTTCAATAGTGGCTTATTATAATTATAGCCTTTGTAGGTTCAATATTTAAAAAAATGCTGAAAGATGTTAGATACATGGTGTTGCAAAATCATTTCAAATAAAACACGTTTTAATAAAAACAAACTTGTTATATTTGACTCTATTTTTTATTTACATAATATATCTCTTTGGCTCATGTAGAACAACTATCTACAATTCTTTTACTCTGTCCTGAAACCTCTTATTTAGAATTGTACTGGTGCATTGAGTTAAGTGATAAACATAAACATTACAAATATACAAATGTAACCAATTCAATAGAGATTGGTCAAGCTGTGAGAAATTATACATCCAAGGTTTAAATTGAACATCGAATACGCACAAATTAAGGTTAACATAGAGAAGTACATGTAACACAATTTAAATTGTTAGTACATACTACACTTATTGAGTGATAGAACAATGAAGGAATACTTTTAAATGAGAGTAGTCGTAAGTTGAGATAACTCAAACATTTCACTTATTGAATAACACAGAATATTTTATAACAATAATCTTATTAACTATTTCGGTGAAAATCTGGCAGATTCCTGTTTTCAAATTATTTATTTCATTTGAGACTCGCTCATGTTATAACTGCAGTACAAGATTAAGTAGGTGATTATCTTAGTAGGTACCCCGATCTCTTATTATTCTTAGGAAATACTGAGTTAAACATCACAATATCAGTATATTGTCTGTCTGATAAACTGCAATGGTACATCAGCGATAGAAAAACACATTCCACACACACATTGGTAACTTAGTGAGCTTCAACGGATTTAAATATAACTAACAAAACATTATTTTGAAAAAAATAATTAAGTAAAATAATTAACATTTGAAATAATTGTAATATGAAACCTCAATTGCATGAGTTATTTGGTGCTGTTTAATAATTGTGATGAAGTTATGATTCAAATCAAAATCAATCCTTTTTTTCTAAATGTGTTTTGTGACAATTAAAGCATTTAGATCCTACCTTTGACAATAGATACACTAGTGAAGTTGACATTACATCCCCCATGTTAGAAATGTAGCCGGTTTAAGAATAAAAAGTAACCCAGTTGAAATGAGCAAACGACGCAGTTTGCTCCTACAAAATACCATTTCCTTTCATGAACATCAATCATGCCAGACTGTAAGGTAAACAATAGCATATGTTACATTGTTGACAGCTATCACAGTATTGAAAACTAAAACAAAAAATAGAACCTCAATAGCATCAAACTCTACGAGAAATTCATTCAAATTATTTTGTCTTTGGGTATAAAACTTGCTACGGCAAGTCCACATTGATGTAATGTCTACTCATGTATCCAAAGTCAATTATATTCATCCATTATATTTCTCAGCATTAATAATATTTATCATACTTCTGGAAAAGAGGTGTTTTTTGCAGTTTTTAAATGTTACCAAGTTGATGTATAAACATGGATTTATTTAAACATTTTTTTCACTTCAGAACTACTGGTAGATGCAAGTAACAATGCTCTTCAGCCGAAGAACAAAAATAAAAAAAATACTAACATAGGAAAAGCATAGTTAATATTATCACAAGTGTAGATTCCAAAATAGTTCAGACATGGTGAGGTTAAAATACTTTCACATATTGACAATTATTTACAAATAAACTACATACTTTAATAAACTAGAGTAACTTAACCTTACATTAACGTACTACATCAATTGTCGTTTAATTATTAATACAACTTATTCAATTATTGACAGAAATAGCAGTATGATCAGAATGAGATGCTTTTGAAGGAACAACTTAAGGTCAAGTTCATAAATCTCATTACAAAAATTTAAAACTCATGTTTACATGTTCGATAATTGAAATTTTGCTGTGGGTATTAATAACAATGTATTCATCCATCTTGAAAAAGTATTGAGACACACAAATATAAAAGTAATTAAAATGATCGTAAGAAAAAACCTGTCATAATTAATTGTTTTGGATGGCTTGCCAAGGACAAATGATTTTTTAAAATTTTTAATCTAGACCTAAAAAGAAATATATTCATTGTATTTAAGTGTGATTGAACTATTTATTACTGCAAAACTATTAGTTCTGTTTGCCTGCTTACTTTTTAAACTGACTCGCACCATAGATTATACAAGACTTAATGGATTTATCATCCTTATGTTCAAATCAACACAGTTTTGATGTATTTTTATGTCTGCTCTAGGTAGAGTGTGTTTTTATTTAGATATATAATACACTTTTCATTTTATTTTACAAACTTTAAAACTTTTATTCTAATATAACTAGTTACAGTACTCGATTTGCAGTGGAACGCAGCGGAACGGTGTTCCGGTACCTCTCTTTCAGAAAGATAAAAAATTAACATAAATAGGTACTAATCATATTAAATAGTTTACAGTTCCGGCACCTCATTTTTTACAAATCGAGCACTGACTAGCTATATATTATTGCAAAAGAATAAAAGTCTCCACTGTAAAATCTACCCTGAAACAGAGAATATAACACTCAAACATAATAAGGCATGAAATGCACGTAAAGCAGGCTTCTGATGTGACAATAGGATGACAAGCCTACTTGCAGCATCTAATGTCAATGGTTTAATCTACATATCCACAAATGGTTTACTTGGGAATAGTTCCCTTATAGTTTATACTGCTTAATGTTTGCTCTGATTGAAAGCGGGCGGTCTAGTGGTAGAGCGTGGGATTTTGGCCCCTTAGGTCCCTTGTTCAAATCCTGTCAATCACCTTTGGATTTTATCGGCCATAATGCCGCGACTCTCTAGGTCTTGCGTAGAGTAATGTGTAAACGGTTAGGGGCTAGAGTGCTACTATGATGTGAAGGTGGGACATAAAAAAGAATGCTTTGATTTATGACACCCACACAGACATACATTTTACCACAAACTCTAGCCACTAACACTACAATAACCAATCATCTCTGCACATCAGAGAGAATGAAAATTACATGAATAATAAGGGCGCTTGTATAAGTTTAAGAGAAATAATAAATGCAGCAATAAGCTAATTCTATTGAATGAGGCAATTTAGAAGAATTACTTTTAAGAATAATGACATTCTGGGATAGCTCAATGATGTATGCTTCTTCCTATTAAAAAGTATAATAAGCAGTCATTCTTTCACCTTAAAACTGTCTGGCAGGAAGTTAAAATATTTTATTTGATTTGTAAAACTCAAAACTGATAATTTTAGTCCCTAAAAAGAAATCCTGCATCAAAGAAAGATGTTTGTCTTTTGAAAGGAAATTGTTAAACCCTAAAAAACACAGGGGAATGATGTAGTTGATTGTTGTTAGAAAGCATCATTAATTGGCCTTGGCAAATAACATCTAAATAAGATCAATTATCAATCATTGAGATGGGGATGCCTCCTAGGAGAGTATTTTAACCCAAATATGAGTGAAGGATGAGTGTAGAATAGTGTGATCTGTGTAGCTTTATTGCTGACTAAGATCAGCTGTTTCATTAGCCAGGACCATTTATTTAAAGCCCAATGACCAGGAACAGCTGGGTCTAGTTTCGAATGATCAAAAAGCTACTGACTCTTCACAGGATCGAACCAGCGACCTTTTGTTTGTTAGGCGAGCACTTAAACCCTCAGCTACCAAGACATAAGTTTGAACTAAAAAATAATAAATATAATATAAATATTGGTACGTGTAGGCGTAAAATGATTCTTTAAGCCAAATTATTTTTGGTAGCTACCTCTTTGCTAAAACATCTCTCAACTACTTCAATTGTTGGTAATTGAGGAGACCTTTTGTTAAATAAACAACAGAAAGTTCAGAGATAGGTTTCTTAACTTTTCCAAGGCAAGTAGACTCGTAAGTACACTTCTTTTGAGCATTACAACTTCTACAAAACAATTAAGAAATTTTTAAATAGCATCCAACTTTATATACATCGATTATGGTCTTTATAACTAATGTGTAAAGAAGTAATCCATAAAATAAATAAATAAGTGGTATAGTGTATGATACAACAGTTTACAGAGGTTTTATATGAAGTTAATATATACAGCAGATCGATCACAGAGGAAAAACTTAATATTATCAATCAGTACTTCATCAGATAAAATACAGACATATAAAATGATGATTCATGGGTAAACTTGTTGCTGACAAGTAAAAAAAGTATAATAATGTATAATATTGATTATTTATATAAAATTGATTAAAATATTCTTCGTACTTATAAAAAAAGAAAAATAAGCTTTAAAATTTAAATTATATAAAATATTATAATACTGGCCGTTTAAATACTTTTCACACTTGTAACAGCATATGATACAAGATCCAATATTTCTTACTGTAGACATTCCACAAAACAGATAAATCTCAAGAAACAAAGTTTTCTGATTTAAATAAAGTTAATCCAGCAAAATAAAAATAAAACACGTCTTCATTTACCACAACTCTGTGCCAGCGGTCTTCTTACAAAAACCGCTGGTACACACCCTGTATATATTGTAATTATATAACTTTAACTTTTCTCAGTCAGTGTTTGAAAGATTGTCAGGTTCGTGTCATAGACTGGGTTTTCGTTTTCATTAATATGACATCAAAATTATATCCATTTTTATGTGTCCTATCTATTGGTATGATTTTAAATGATTACTACATTTAAAACACAAAAACAGAGATTCTGCATTACAAAACTTAACATTAAATAAAGTAACTTGGTTTGCAAGTTCAGTTTACCTAATTTAAGAAGACCCAAAGTGTCTTTGTGTGATGTATGAAAATGTCATTGAGAAACTCACCCTTAGTAATAGATTTGTGGAGTGAAAAATACAAATACAGTGATACAGAGATTGACAAAATTATAGATATACTAGTTCCAAATAAAACCTTTCAAAAAACTTATTTTTTAATCAATGATTGCTAGTAAATGTACAGAATACATTATCTCAAAAGTTGTCATAAATTCTTAACCCATTCATAACTACAATGACAAGATATAAGTAAGCTTTTAGATATAAGTAATCCAACCAGACTACTTCGACATGAATTAGGTAAACTGAACAACACTGAATATTAGACGGGGATAGTAAGACAGAAGAAACTTAAATTACACTAGCCGGTAACTTATCTAAGGGAGGAATGTTATTGTGTCGTGGAGGTTGAGGTTGAGGGTTCGATCCTTGTCCTTGCTCTGGACATCCGTTGGCCACCAGCAGATCTACGAGAGCACAGGCTTGCGCGCTAGCTAGCTCAGTGGTGGCGGTGGATCTCTGCGCCGCGCGGGCCAGTGTCAGACATGTTCTTCCGTCTCCATCGACTGCCTTTACATTGGCATTGTGCTGCAACATTTAATAAGGTTAGTAGTAAGTTTAAAATGTAATCTATTAAATACTTCAGATTCTATTTCATCCTAATCTTAAACAGTCCTCACCTGAACTGTCGAAGGGCCTTACAAGACTTAAACAAAAATCTGAATTTACCAAAAACCTCAATAATTACATCAATTATTTTTAATGAGTTTTTTGAGGTAGCTGAGTTACCTGAATGGGAGATAGTCCACTCCAGCACAAGAAACACAAATACATGCCGCCGCAAACCTGTAGACTATGTGAATTTCCATTTGCCTGATAAGATTTTCACTTAAATATCTCTTTAAAAATGTCATATCTATTCCCTATTTAAATAACATTAGTTAAACAAGTACTTAGGTTTGCTGCTACAGAGAAGGTAATAGATTGGTAAGTGTTTTTTTTTTGTGAAATGTTAATAGTTAAGTATGAAATAAATTTACCAAATTTGATCAAAATATGTTCATAAACAATCAAACTACAACAGTTTACTTAACAACATAGGAATTTAAATTTTTTTTTAATTTTCTCTGTAACCAATAATTTTATACAAAAACACTTCTATATACTAAATTATAGTTTAGAGAGAAATTGGAAAATTTTATTTTTTAAGGGTCAAAAATGAGAAAAACAATTTTTGCCCCATAAAACCCCGTTTCCATGGTCCGATCATGCTGGTTTGCGAATTTGTTTGAATAAACGTAGGTTTACACGTTTGAACCAAATTTCATCAAAATTGTATGATTTTTGCTGTTTGTATGAAGTTATTGTGCTAACGTGTACACACACACGTATATGTATTATACAAATTTTAACTAACGGTTTTTTTGGCCTCTGTGGATCTCAAAACGAAAAAGTAAATGGGTCCCAGGTCCAGATATCTTATTATGAGACCCACGGTAATAGCTTATTCCCTAGATGGAAAATTGGCTAAAAATTTCACCCTATGCACAAAAATTCAAATACTTCACTGTCACTGACAAAACTTTCTACCAAAGAAGGAGATGGTTATTTGAGCATTCCTTGGTTAAAAATGATGTCAGTGACAGTGAAATATTTCCAACTTTTGACTGTTGTGTACAACTGCTTGTGTTTCTTGTGCTGGAGAAGGATATTTCCCATTTAGGTAAACCTTCTATCCTAACAAAACACCTTTGAACCTAGACCCTTTAGCTCAATGTTACACAGCAGTACTCTAGGCTGCTTACCCAGATAAGTAGCTGAGCTATAGGAAGGTTCCCCATGGCACAGGCGATGTGTAGGGGAGTTCTCAGGTCCCGTGGGCTGGACACACTGTTGACTAGTTCAGCACCTCTGTGAGCCAGCAGAAGCAGCAGTGTTTTGATATCAGATCTGCAAGCACAATGAAACTAATAAGCCTTCACATGCACAAATGAACAATATTTGTTTGATGCACGTGGTTGTGGAGGAGATTTTACCTCACATTTGCTACTTTTGCGTAATGACAGTCCATGTCAGGGAGAAGGAACAGCCAATTGTGTTGTATGCATGAGTGCGCAAAAATGTTTATTCATCACCAAATAGAACAGCCACAATATAGTATAAACTGTGTTCAAGTGTTTGTAGACACATTGTACAAGAAACCTACAGATGGCTGCACTGAACAATTGCTAACAGATCCTCAGTACTGCTAAATGTAGGGGAAAAACTTGGGACTAAACAACCGAATAGACCAACAAAGAAAACTGCAAAATCACAAACTAAGCATGCTAGTTCAATGTTTAACCTCAAAATGCGAGTAAGTCACATCCAGCTCACATGAGTGGCAAGGCCAAACAAACCGCTGAAAGTATGTATTGCTCTACCAGTCTTTGGTGAAGGGCCCATACAAGGTTGCCACCTGTCTCGATTCTGTCGGGACAGTTCCAACTTAGGTCCCTTTTGCCCGTGTTTATGTCTATGTTAATCTTGGGGAGATGGGGCCTGTCCTGATTTTTCCCTAACCAAAGGTGGCAACCCTGGGCCAGTATGGTGCACACGGACACAGCCCCCCACCAGTGACTATTGTCCATAAGGGGTTACTGTTGTAAAGAACAACTTATTTTCCTTCTCTAGTTGAATCACAGTTTTCGATATTCTAATTGTTAAGGTACAATACCAAATTTATAACAGTACAATCTCAATTATCTTCCTTAAATTCGCCACGCCAAGGTCGGATAAGCGAAAAAGATTGACAATATAGGAAAAAAATATAAATCTGTAATAAATCACTAAGTTAACAAAATATTTCCCTATTGCCAATCCTCATCAGGGGTATATGCTAGTATTCCATTGAAACCATTAACATTTTCGGTTTTTAAGTCATCTTCACTAATAACATAAGAAGAAGAAACAAAGAAAACACACCACTACTTTAAAAAAACACTAAAACAGTATGATTAAGATAGAAAAATAAGAACCTTCCCAATCAGCTACAGGTTTATGTCCGAACCGCTACAAGAGCGTGAGTGATCGCGGATAGGTATGCAGTATTATTATTTGACTGTGTAGTATGTAGAGCACAAAAAATATTACAGTAAAGTGCTAATGTCCTAAAGACTAGCATGCATCTTCTGAGAACAGTGCTGACAAAAGGCGTTATTTCAACGTAGGTCGTCCGCAGGGAGGGTCGAATAACCAAGATCGCATAAGCTAAACTACTGATACTGTATTTCTGTATATACCGGGTGTCCGAAAAATAACTCCCTAGTTTTATTAAATTTCTGAGGACAGTATTCGTTAGAATGGACAAAAATAATTCTTTGGGCCTGTTGAGTATGCTCTTAAGTTTTAGTTTCGAACGTTGGTATTAAGGTTGGCACACCTGTTTGACCTTGAGCGTGTAGTTCCACCACGCGCCGCGCCGCCGCGCTGAGCGCTAGACTCGACTGTCTGACTGTCAGTCAGTGCAATGGCTACTCCACAGCAGAAAGCACAGTGCGTAATTTGGTTAGTGGAAACAAAATCTGTTACTACTGTGCAACGTAACTTCAGACGTGAGTATGGTGGCCGAAATTGATCCGAAATCAATTCGCAGTTGGTTAAAACAATTGAAGGAGACGGGAAGTGTTTTAAAAGGAAAACGACCGGGTAGGCCATCTGTTTCAGCGGAGAATGTAGAGAGAATCAGAGCCTCATGCCAACGCAGCCCTAAGACGTCACTAATGCGTCGTAGTCTACAATTGGGATTACCAAGATCTACTGTCTACGACGTGGTACGTAAAAGACTGAAATTACATGCGTACAAAATCCAACTGGTCCACGAAATAAAACCAAATGATAAACGCTTAAGGTTAGATTTTGCTGTGGACATTCTCAACAGAATTGATGAGAATCCAAACTACCTGAACAATGTTTTGTTCACTGATGAGTCAACGTTCCATGTTAACGGGGTTGTAAATCGCCACAACTGCCGAATTTGGGAGTCTGAGAAGCCACGAGAAATTGTTCAACACCAACGAGACTCGCCTAAGGTTAATGTGTGGTGCGGTTTAATGAACGATCGAATTGTTGGACCTTTTATTTTTTGTGAAAACACTATAAATGGCGATATCTACTGTGAAATGCTTGAACTGTACGTGTTTCCACAGGTGGATGACATCGAGGCGGAAAAAGGACTAGTAATATTCCAGCAAGACGGTGCGCCGCCCCATTACAAAAAAGTGTGCGCTCGGCCTTAAACGCTCGTTTCCCGGCAAGATGGATGGGGAGAGCTGGCCCGATCGCGTGGCCTCCAAGAAGCCCAGACATAACACCACTGGATTTTTTCCTGTGGGGTTACGTTAAGAACTTGGTTTATTCAGAAAAGATACGTGACATTGACCATCTTCGTCAAAGAATCGTAGCTGCAGTAGAATCAGTGACACCTGATATGTTAACTAACACTTGGAGAGAGATCGAATACCGGTTAGATATCTATAGAGCTACAAATGGGTCACATATCGAGGTGTACTAATGTCAAAATAAACTTGAGTAAACCCTCTTTAATTTCATGTATTAGATATAAGAATATGTATTCTCTACAATAAACAATCGTTTATCAAAACTAGGGAGTTATTTTTCGGACACCCGTTATAAAGAAACCAACCAACTTGATGGATTCTAACCTGCAGATGGCTTCAAAGAACTGCTGTGAGTGGTTGCCTGCATTCAAGGTGGGCAGGAATTCCTTGGTCTCGTACTTGGTGCGGATCCATCGTTCCTTCTCCTCTCGGCTACTGGAGGGTGTAGGCTTGGCTCGGTCCTTCACTATAGCCTCCCAGACAGAGTTACCCATGGCATTGCCAATGCTCAACATCACTGCCAGGTGACCAGGCCTGGGACCAAGACAAGAATATAGTCAACCTTACGCACATTACACATCATAGCTGGGAAGTGTTCAATATAAATACTGTAGTGGAATTTGGTCATTGCTGTTGATCCAATAAAATAGTAATAAATAATGGCATTGAATAAAATTGTACAAATTTACATTGACATTAATAAAAAACACAATCGTATAGGCAGATTAAAAAAAGTTTTAACATAACATTCAATTGACAAAATATCACACACACAATTCTTTACTTTTTGTTTGACATTAAACGTTTTCCCTTGAACTTGGGAAATTGTTCTACATAATATACATGGCTAGGTTTATGCATTTTCCCTATTTGAGATCCCTTAAATAGTTGCCCTATTACTTATATTTTGAATTCTAAGTAGCCCACATACCCAGTTGTAAAACAAAAATAAGATACTAGATTGCAATGACAACTTTTTTTAAATTAAATATGCATTGACAAATAAGGGAATGAATAAGAAATAAGAAATTAAGAAGAAGGGTATTTGGTATACTCACGGCCATTCATCCAGGTGTAGAGAACGAACCCTGGATATATGTGATCCAAGGTTCCGATGTATTCCACAGCATTCGATACACACCAAGACTCCTAGGTTGAGGCTAGCCCATTCTGGATCTGTTGGCAAACAAGCAAACAGTGAAAATACTTCATGTGACTAACGGTTACAAAGATCTGCAAAATGTTTTGTATAACAACTTTGATATTTAGTAGAATGAAAACAATTTCACTAAACTAAACTCTAGTTATAACGTTATAACTTTGATTGCATGAATATTTTCTGGAATTCAAAGTTAGTACAGAGTATTGAAACTCCAAACCCAAATCCACCAAATATAATTTTTAGTATTAAATCTTGAATCTCAAATTTTGTTGCAGCTTCCGTTTGTTTAGGCTTTCACAACTCATGTGTATTTTGTTCAAATGAGTAAATGAAATAGAATGTGAATTTGAATTATTTATATTTGAAGCACTTTTATATTTGAAGGACTCATGAAAGTATATCCTAACAAATTTTTGAAATGTCAGTAGCATGGAATGAATGATGCGGGGAATGGTGGGAGGTGTGAAATGTCGGTGGGAGACAGCAACACCATCTAGGTGTGTATTTAAGCTAAATACGGACGTAAGATGAATGTAGATTGACGTGAGATGATCTGTGTAGCTTTTTTACTGACCTACAGCTGTTTCTTTAGCATCATTAAAGCCCTGTGATTGAAGACAGCTGAGCCTAGATTCGAACGATCAAAAAGTTTCAAACTTTTCTCAGAATCAAACCAGTGGCCTTTTAATTGCCACGCAAGTACCAAAGTCATTTTAGGTGTTTAAATGAAAGTTATCAAAGATATTTCAGTCTTACTCTAAGAAGTAGTAGAATACCGGTAGACAACTATTTATCTGATAGCAGATTGGTGGGTACTCACTAGGTGCATCACAGTCTGCGCAGTGACTGTTCCCGGGAACTCTGGTACGTATTGACTGCAGGGAAGCCACCTCGACAGAATTCTGCAGCCGAGACTTCACCTTGCTGCTCTCATTTCCCTGCAATAATTATTCATTTTAGAACCAAAAGGTTTGAGTTGTGCAAAAAATAGAAAGTGTAGTTACGTTTTTTGAAAAGAATTAAATTCCAAGTAACTAACATATTTTAGTTTATATATACGACCAAATCAAAAGAATTGTTATTGTTACAATTACTAAAAGAGCGATATAATAAGGATTAAGGAATATAAATAAGATCCTTACTGGCTTCATAATTGTAAACAAGTTCATTATGTCATGTCTAAAATGAATTAATACATCTTAATCTACTATAAATAAACTTGAATACATACAAGGATAGGCAGGAGGCAGGGGGAGAGGGAAACTGGATTAGTGATCAGTAATATAGTAGACTCAGTTTCTTAAGGCTTACCATATCTAGAAATGAAAGTACAGTCTGGATTATGAAAAAAAATTACCATAACATTTTTGTGATTTGTCAAAACAAATTAAAGTAGATGTCATACAGCTTATTACATTACTGAAACTATAAGCAACCAATCTCAACAAAAGCATTGTTTTTTCCAGTTCTTCAGCCATAAGAGTTATACTAAATCACCACTATTTTGTTATATTTTTTAAGATGCAAAGTTTTGTTTCATTCTAATTATAAAATTAAAATTTGATTATAAAAAATTGATCAATTTTTAAATCTTTACCACTTAAATGATAGCACCAAAGATAAAAAACTAATTAACTAATTAACTAACCATAATACGAGTATATGATTGCTTTTTCATTAGAATTTCCTCAGAAGGAACCTTAGAACCTTCTCAGGGGGATGGCCCGCTAGGAGTCAGAAGAAATCTTAAATGTAAGCATAGGTTGATATTGTGGCAAGTTTTTTAAGTGTACTGCTGTCAGTTACTGCTTTCTGATATACGACTTTTTAACCTAGCCATGGAATATCTTATGTCACATCAATTATCATGACATCAATTATTCCAGTATCAAAAACTAAGAAAAAATTTTGACGATAGCATATTCTGTGTTTGACTTATTCAACTTCAGTAGAACCCCACATATCCAACCATGACGGGACCAGGCCATGGTCGTAACGGCCAAAAGGTCGGATATTGGGAGGAGCATAACCTGCAGTCTCTGCCACATTGGTTATCGTCTCCCCCGACAACACCCGTGAGCGTAGCTTGCAGTCTCTGCGACTTCGGTAATCGTCTCCCGCAATCATGGCAAACAGCCGTGAGCATAACTTGAAGTATCCGCGACTTCGGTAATCGTCTCCCACGACCGCGGCAACAGCTGTGAGGGTAACTTGCAGTCTCCACGACTTCGGCAATCGTCTCCTGCAACCGTGTCACCACCCGTGAACGTAGATTGGGTGATCGTCTACCGCGACAGCAACATCCGCGATCGGCCTATCAGTTAACCAATCTCGCTCGGCATTATCGTCCCAGACAGAAAACAAGTAGATGGTTGTCGGTTGGATACTAGGTCGGATATCCCAGGGAGTCAGTTATTCCGACGTCGGATATGAGGGGTTCTACTGGTTGCATTTCGTACAATACCCTACTATGGCAGTTCTGTATAGAAGGTATGACTAGTCTAACCTACAATCCAAAGGTATGTTATCATAGTAGTAGTGACTGTTGGAGTTACCTGAAGAGAGTTGAGTATTTGCTGCTCGATGGCTGCAACCCATTCATCCCTCTCCTCAGAGTTGCTAGCCTCGAAATGCCACTGCTTGTTGTCCAGGGAAACTATAAGGAACTCGTAACCATCTGAGTCTGTAAATACAGGTCCAGTGTTATTAGAAAGCTCTAATAAGCTGTGCTACAAGAATTGATCAATTAAAGCATAAGCTAGGGTAAATTTAGAAAATAAATTTATCACTCATAGATCACCATGCAGTTTTACAAAAAAAATTTGCTAGATCAATTTATTAGATAAGTAAAAAGCCTTTTGTCTAATGTTTCTTAGATTTTCGGGTATTATTACTTTTAAATTTTCATATAGAGTTAATCAAATTGCTTGATAGATACGTTTTTAATTATGTAAAAATAAAAAATAAACAACATCTCTTGACTTTTTAAAATTCCAGCTGACTTCGGGCGCATCACTTCAGTTGATACAACCTTAAATTGGTATCTAAATATTAATGCAAAATGAGTTACAATAATATTAGTCTGTACAATAATAGTATAGCTACTTAGAATTTAAGAGGAAACTTATTGATTGGCGATTTATTGACATACCTTCACATTCTTGGTTTTTGACACCACTACTTTTAATCCTGCGATGTCTTTTTTTGACGTTTGGTGTTTCTGCTTTGCAGTCGCTTGTTCCATTGAACATGGAATTATTTATTGAAGACTCATCATTACTGTAAAGGAAAATTAAGGGTTAAACTGTGTTTATAATATCTATGAAACCATGTCCAGCATTCATTATTACCACGCAAAATTTTTCTGTCCCAATATTATTTGAAAAGTTGTCACACAGTTTTTTTTTTAATGACAACAACTCATTTAGTTTGTAAATCGATTAGTGTAATGTAAATTTTTAAACTGCACTTTATAACTAAACTCAGTTCAATCATACAGACCATAAAAGGAAATGGATACCTTGATGTAAAAGATGCATGAGCATAAGTAATTAAATGATTACAATAATCAACAAAAGATTGAGCAACAGGATTGTCAAATACTAAGAAATAGCATTTTCCCTTAAAATAATAATTTTCTTTTCTAGCCCATGGTTTTAAAAATTACTTCAGGCTAATCTCAGAGGATTGCGACATAATCACTTAAATAAAATCTAAAATCCATTGGCGATTGGCTGGATTTGAACTTGGGACCTTGGGGACCGAAGACCCATGCTCTACCACTAGACCAAATCATAATTTTTTTTAATAATGATCCATCTTAAATTTTAATATGAAATCCTATATAAGATGACTTACTTAGTGAGTTTTCCTGGCTCCTTGAGCAGTTCGAAAGCTGTTAGAAGGACCTTGTCTGCAACCCTTTTCTCCTTGGACTGGTAACCTGGGAACACAGACACTGTTTTTTTGTTAGCATTAGTCACTGAAACTACTTGTTACTTATAAATGTAACTTAGAATGGTAAATTGGTAGGGAAAATAGCAAATAGTCCCAAAACTAATTAAATCCTAATTAAAAAATGTCCAAGAAAATTCCCAAAAAATTGTTTAAAAATCTCAAATTTTTACACGGAAACTTATAATAAAATTAAAACTATGCATTATTGTGACATATCTTAAAGAATACATTTTGCATTTCAATAGATCACGGATAACTTATTGGTAAATAGCCTTTCATATTATTGCTAAACTGGAGTGAAATTTTAAATAATGCAAAGTTAATCTATGTTACTAAATATTTCTTCTATACTCTATTCTACATTTAACGTGCAGTGCGGCTCTTATTGGAGAACTTTGTACTATTAATGCTTGCTATTAATAGTCTGGAGTATGAAAACGGACATTCAGGTTATGTCAACAGTCCTCTTGACTCTCGGGAAGAAGCCAAAGTACATTTTAATTATTTTTGTAGCTTCCTACTTTTTATATATTGGTATTTCGGATGAGTTTTGACTTTGGTATATTTAAAATGAGTGCAGCGGTAAAAATGTTTGATATAAACTAAAAAAAATAAGGAGCATTTCATGGGTTTTTATCAGCTAGTGTTGAGGAAACTGTGATATGAAATACATGGCTTATGGATGCTCAGTACTGCACAGAGAATAAAGAATGGAGTCTACATGAAACATGTTTACTGATCTCCGACATGACCCTTACAGTTGGTTGTGATGGAGAGAGAGGTGAGAGAATCATGCAGTCCGTTGGTGTTGGATGGCTGAGGAATGGTCTTGGAGCCACGAGGCTTCTGTCCTGGAACCTTCACAGTAACATACTGCAACGAGATCTCCTTGCCATGTACATCGTCCATGTAATCCTTCAACATCAAACAAAACTCTTAAAATACTGTCATAAGTCACGTATTGTGTTACACCCTCAATACATTAGAAAATGAGTACATACATAAGTTCAAGGTCAGCTAGTCAACATTTCACAATATCATGTCAATACTCAATACAAAAAAGGCAAAATTAACAATATGAAATGTTCTTATAGATAATTTAAGTGTTTCAGTTCTATCTTTGAAAGCTTTAAATACAAGTTGTTACTCTTAACATTTCCAAAAAGCTTAGGGTTCAAAACACTCCCACATTGGAATTGTAAAACACCTAATCAAAATTGTGTTTCAAACTAAAAAGTACATCAACATTATAATGATGTTGTAATTAATTAAGTCTTCAATGAGCTGTGTTGAATCATTTTCACACACAAGAGAAACCAGAATAAAAATTCCATACCTAGGGAGAGAATGGTTAGAGGCAAAATATTTTAGTTAATACAATATTTGTACTTAAAAAAGCCGAACTGACAATCACCAATAGATGGTATATAAAAATATACACTATTTAAACTACATTTTGGCCAAAAAACATATTATATACACTAGTCGCTCAAAGTTTTTTGGTGATGTTAAGTTATATAGGATTATTATGAACTGTTAAAATATTATTTACATTATATGGTGATGTTTCATCAATACCTATTATACATTTAACAATAGTTGGGGATTATTTTTAACTGAAATAATTCTAAAAACTACAAATATTGAAAAATGGAAACCGCTACTTACATGCAAACTAGGGTGGTAAGTGAGTCTTCCATCGTCACACAACGTAACATACTTCTTCTTCCATTCCTTGTTTAAAGCTTTGCTGCTCCGCTTGTACAAGTAACCCTGTTTGAGAGGGATGGCCCTTCCACTCCCTAACTCTCCTCCATTCCTCAGCTTTTCATCACCCTTTTTTGAGGGGTTGAACAAGTTGGATCTCCTACGGGTTTTTCTGAAATAAAATTTACTTTGATTTAACGGCAAAAGTGAACCAAATAAATTATGTTCAACCATATCCTGTACATACAGATTACAAAAGATACCTGACATTTTGTGTTGGGCGCAGAGCGACCTTTTTTACATCCTAGAGTTCAATAACATTTTACAAAACACGCTAAAAACAATAACTTTTTGGGATATTATAAATGAAACTATCAACGATAAATAAAACAAAGAAAGTAAAATGATGAATAGTATCGCTATTTGTTTGTTGTTTAGCAAGGCTCCCACACACCTTCAAAACAGATTGACAATAAAGTCAACCTAATACCCATACCCTCGTAATTACTGACCATAATTACAAAAATGTAAAGTTGGGAAAAATGTTTATTGACCTTTTGATTATTGGGTTATGGAGCATTCACAAATTCGCATCCTGAATTTATAATGTCTCTTTTTCGCTGTTTACTCGCATATCTAACTCAGCAATGTGAGTCTTAAAAATGTTAAAACATCGACATAGTTGAAGATGAGAGGAGTCACAAATGGTCTATTAGACCAGGTATAGTGAGATTATAAAATTTCATAAACTTGTTATTTGTATATTACATAACAGTTTTTAAATTATTTTAATATACCAATTGATGATAATGTACGAAATGTAGTTTTGATTTAATGGACAGGTATTTTCAATGAGTAAGGTGCACACAGTATATTCACTAATAATCAATACTTTTATTTTAAAGACAATATAAGGTGGTCCAAAAAGTAAAGAGCATGTCATGGTATTTCTAGGCATGCGTGAGTAAAATTTCATAGAAATATTGTACTAAATCAATTACTGTGAAATATAGGTTATTAGGATTAAATGAAAAATAAGGAACATTAACATAAAATAAGGGATCTGATATTTTAGACAGCCATGCACTTCCTCATGGGTTAACACATTTGATTCTGTTGAGTAAATATTGCGACTGGAAGTGGGAACATCCAATACGCTTTGTGGGAGAGTGTGCGAAAATGTTAAATTCTGTTTCATCCTTTAGACGAGGCACAGTAGAGCATGTACTGCGTTCCAGTGTGTGTGGACATAGTATAGTTTACCTGGTTGTGGTGGGGGTGGAGGAAGGTGTGGGTAAATCCTTGGTGCTGATAGTCAAGGTATCCTTGGTAACATTGTTGTTGTCTAGTAGCAGATCTGCCTTGTGTAGTTGATGACTAGAAGAGGACAGAGCTTGACACATCTGTCTACCAAGACCAGATCCCTCCTGTGTACACAAGGTAAACAAACTGTTAGATAAAGGATGCAACATAGAAGGGTTTTTATTAGGATAGCAATTAGAAAGCTTACTTGATTAGGGAAGGGCCAACTATGGTACAAGCAACACCAACACATTACACTATGACTATACACAAAATTGAAATATGTGACTGTCACTAAAGCATTTTCATTCAAGAATGAACCCTACAAAGTGTTTTGTACTTCTCATGCCACAATGGGCTCTTTGACATTTAAGAAAACCTGCTATACTGACAAAAAACTTCATAACTGTTAGATGAATACGAATGGCACATAGACATATCAAAATTCTGGTTTTTACCGTTCTGTAATCTACACAACAACAGTCTTAAACCGTTAGATAAAACAAGAACAAATCTAAGTAGGTATATCAATTAGGGAAATGAAAATTCCCTCAGACTACAGATTTGCTGTGGCAGGGGTATTATAATGCTATAGAATGGTTGCCAACATCTCAATAACTTGAGGGTAGAGTATGTAATATCTGATAAACATTTTTGACTTATTTGATACAAATAAATGTTAAAAACCAACCTTGTGGGAGATGGTGTGAGCGTGGCCTGGGGAGTGAGGAGCTGGGGAGGAGGTAGGAAGTGTGAGAGGAGGAGGTGGAGGAGCTCCTAGAGGAGTAGATGGACGGGAGTTGCTGGGAGTTGCCAGACACGTAGTCGACTGGGATAACCTCTGCTGTACTATCTTCTGGCATGCTATGAACAAATACATTTTCAGATTAAAAAATTATCAATCTTTTTTTTAGTACTTTAACTTATTCTGACGACACCAAAGAAAGAATTGTTCAGTCACCAACACTAACACTACAAACTATGTCTTTTGGATAAAACCTTGTCCCAGACAGAAATGTTTGATGCAGTCATCCTCAGTGCAGTTCACCTCAAATAAGTGTCGGGTACCACTATAGGAACATCAGGACTTGGTAATGAGTACCTGTCTGGGACACAATCACAGCCAGAAGACCTAGTTTGTAGTGACACCTTAAGAAATGGATTCTTCTGTCCAAAAAAAAAGAGGGGGAGGGGATTCGGTGGATTAAAATTTGTCTAAACACATGTCAGCTAAAAAGGTGAAAATTGTGTAATTCTGTTCACAAAGAATATCAGTAAGTGACGATAAGCCTTGTTGTAACATACAAGCAAACTACGGATTTATACACAAAACCGGCTCTTACTTAAAAAATTGACCTCGTAACAGCTAATTCAGATGACTGGAAATGTTGATCGATAATTTTCAACTTTACACAGTCAAGAAATTAAAGAGATTGGAGAGTTTCAAAACACCTTAGCATGAGGCGCAAGCACTATTTCCCTTCAAACTATAAAATGACTAATACATTATTACCCCAAAACTACCACAACTCACTAATAGTATGATGTATTCGATGTTGAGTGCAAGGTTACCAAGCAACAACAACAATGCAGATAATGAAGTAACTGTGGTTGGCACTACAAGGGCGGTTTTTTTAAGTAAGGGCAGTTTTTGCGTATAGCTCCGTAGTTCGCTTGTACGCCACAACAAGGTTCCTCGCCGCTTACTGGCATCATTTGTGAACAGATTGACAGAATTTCCAGCTATGCTAACATGTACACTTTGCTGGATGTTTTAAACATTTTGTAAACCATCGAATCTCCCGCCAGGTGGAGATAAGGTCAGTATAAAGTTTTTTGATAACAAGAAACATCCGATGCCGGATTCATTGCCAGATGACTGAGGGCTATGGCTCTAATGCAATGAGTGAGGTTAAAGTGCGGAAATGGGTTATGGAGTGTAAAAATGGTTGTGAAAACCTTTTTCCTTTGTCTTTTGTGAGAAGTCTGGCTACTCACCAAAAACACATAACTCCCTAAGATGAACATTTTTACGGCAATTTGTAAACTTTCTAGCATATTTCTGCACATTCCTTGCTTCATTGCATCAGGGTCACAAACTTCAGTCATCTGGCGATGAATGTCAGCATCGGATATGTTTCTCGTGGGAAAAACCTTATCACTGACCTTATCTCGCATGCCCCGGGATGTGATGGATTAAAATTGTTTTAAACACATGTCACCTAAAAAGGTGAAAATTGTGTCATTCTGTTCACAAAGAATGTCAGTAAGTGGCGAGGAGCCTTGTTGTAACATACAAGCGAACTACGGATTTATACACAAAAACGGCTCTTACTTAAAAAACCACCCTCGTAACAGCTGATTCAGATGACTGAAAATAATGATCGGTCATTTGCAACTTCATACAAGAATATTGACATGACAAAGAGGAAAAGAGCTTGGAGAAGATTACTGATTAGTAATGATAACGGTATATGGAGTGAGGCTTTCTGAGGCCACACAATAAACATTAGATTACCAGTACTAATTTTGTATACTATTTGTTAATAATCCAGTATATTGAGGATTTTTAAACAAGTTAAAACAGAAGCAATTTCACTCTGCTTGAATTGACTAGCATGCATAATGCAAAGGTGGTGACTTCAAACAGCTTATTGATGTTGAGGTTCCTTTGACATGCCACTGCTTGTAATTGAAACCCAACAGTACAACTACTAAAGACAGGCAAATTTTAGATTAAAGAATTATAAAACTACGCGTATGGTGTAAATAGTGCACTAAATGTAAAAAAAACAAAAAAAAAACACTTTAAGATGATTAGGGCATCTTGGGGAAATAGTAATAAGACGACACACTAAAGCCTCATGTAGTCTTCAACTCCCAGAAAAATATGCATTCAAAATTCAAGAAAATACTATGAATTCCAAACTGCCTTACCGATATAATGCAGTATTGGATTCAACTAACAAACAATTAATCAGGTTAAACAGATACTTACAATCTGTTGGTTCAATATCCTAAACGGGTAAAGACTATCTTTCAAATACAATTCTTGTTATATGCTCTTTCGGGTTTAATTGGTATATTTGATTCAAACTATTTATTTTTTAATTTGAATTGGTCTTTTGGGATTTGTAGATAAAGTTCAAAAGTTTGATTTTTTATGTCATTTAATTTTTTTTTTTTTTTTTTTTTTTTTGCTGTTACAACAAATATGATATGGTGAAATACTACAATTTATAGATATATAAGAAGAGGTGTCCACGTCCAGTAAAACTTGTAAACTTTCTTATTAAAACGTACATTGGAAATATTAAATATTCATTGACCAAAACTATGAATAAAAAATTCCATTTTAATTGGAATATCAGCTAGGCAACAGGAATTGTCTGGCATAAGCAGACCTGACTTGGCTAGAAGATAACGTGTGTAAGATTATTATTTTAAGAAATAGAATTTGTGAATACAGTTGTAGATTTCAAGATAATAGTACCTAATTAAAATAATGTCAAATAGGAGTAGGACTGTGAAATTCCAAATATTGACTAATTAGAAAAATAGCTTATCTCAAATGTCCTGGCCCCCTTTATTATTGTTAGCTGTAGTTAAAAATGTAAGAGGCCATTTTAATATATTAGTTGAGTATGACAAATGTCAATCTAAACATAAAAACTATGATTTAAAAATCAATAAGTCCTTTGATTTTTAGACTAATGAACAATGAGGTATGAGAAATTATTATCACACTAAAATTTATAAATGTTGTTGAAATAAAATAAACTTACACTGTTTTTTCAAGCAACTTAACATTTTCCGAAGCTTAACACACTAGTTTGATCAAACATTCAGCTCTGTATGATCATATGTCAATTATGGTACTTGAACAAATTATCAAACACTTGTATCAAGACTCCTACATATATCATGACACAGCATACATTTCTACTAAAGTTAATGGTTTGAGGGGTTTAGCAAATGGTTTATTAGTAAATTTGTAAGTGAGAAAATGAGATGGGTTAAATGCAGTTTTGTTGATAAATATCATACACAAATTATAATTGAATGGAGTTAAGATTTATTTGATGTCTAAACATGACTGAACAAAATTTGCGTATTGAATCTTAATCCACTTATCAACACCTATAGTTGCTATAAAATTTCAATTATTGTTGATTTTTTCTTACTCCAAGTTGAAGAAAAATTAAGTAAGATAAACAATCTTAAACCTTGTATTTCTAGCCTAGAAGAAGGTGATTGAGATCTTTATGAAAAGGAATAGTTAATCACAATTTTCATAAATTACTACTATCCACAAAACCCATAGGATCTGCTTATAATATGTGTTTTCTATACGAGATAGTCTGTTATTATAATATATGAAAAGATTGACAAAGATTTTCCACTTTGGTAGGAAGTTAATAAATGCAATTGGTAGTTAAAAAAGATTAATTATTTAGAAGGTAACTTAGAAATTATATATCCGATCATAGTACAATTTCAGTCACCAAAGAGTTCAAGAAAAAAAAATTATATGGATTATCACCCATTGAAACTGTATTCAAGTAAATTTTTTGATTTAAGTTTGAAATGTATGTACACTGGATTGTAAAATAACAGTATGTAAATTACATGGAAATGTAAATTACAGATATATTGTGAATAAAATATGACATGAAATGTACTAATGGCTGTTAAGTTTTCCCACCTATCACTAACATGCTCTCAACATTTAGTATTGACCTTGTAACTTGACAAACATGCATTGTGATGACTTATGCACAAAACATATCAATATGTTTTAAAGGTCATTTTAGTGTATTGTATATTGATCTAATATTAGAGTAGACATTTCAATCGTTAATACAAATCCCTGATAACAAATTCATCTGCTTTGTAAAATGAACCTTAATAATTCAACTTACTTCATGTTTTATGTTATAAAACTATACAGTAAATTAAAGTAATAAGTTAAATGATCTCTCAATCTGAGAGCAACCAAACCTGGTGACTGGAAGGCCATATATAGAGTAAGAAGGCACCTTCTTCAAACATTGAAATTGCATTTTTGAGAGGTCTTCCTTTGCTTGGACTGATAGGTTTTTATTGGGTGAAATTCCATCACACCAAGGTAAAATACACCGTAGCCCCTGATAGTGCATTCCCTATTGTAAAAAAGACAGCAATATCATCGGGTCACGCCCCAGTGTCACCACTTAAAACTTGAAGAGAATTCTATGATAACTAACACTTGGCACATTTCCATGCAATTTCCAGCAGCTTGAACTTACCATCCTGAAACACTCTCTCTACGTTGAGCCCGTAGGTGGCGCAGGTCTCGTAATACGAGCAGCGCTTGAGGTCTGCAGCCAGCTTTCGAGCTCTTGCGTCGTCTATGACGCGAGGGTTGCTCTCACTGATGGCGTCTACGCAAACATGGCCATGTCAATTTTCTTCCTGATAATGTTTTTAAGAGGTTCTGATGTTGATAGTGATAGCATTGCAGAGAAACAATTGTGGGATCTGCCATATCTAAGCCTCCATCCCTTGGCTGCAGAGTCTCCCAGAGCACTCACTTCAGCCATAATACCTTTGCGGAATTGATCGGCTAGGTTCTATACGGGATATATTGCCAATACATAGATGGTACCAAAGCAGTCAATCCTCGAGGGAATAAGCACATATTTTAAATGCCTGGGAATGGAAAAAGCTACTTTTAAAACCCTTTCTTTTTAAATTGGAGTTGAGAAGTTTTTAGGATATGATACACACCTAAGATGAATTCCAGAACTTTTTTCAAAACTAACAAATTGAATTTAGTTTAGCATAAGAGCTTTATCCTAAGATTATTGATATCATTCAACTACATGGGTAGTAGTAAGCTGATTGAACTTAATAATGTCAAAATTGTATAGATTTATTCTGTGACTTTAAATATGTCACAAGAGAGAATGCTTCAACAGAATTACCTCTGGCACAACAATACTTTTGAGAGACCTGAGGCAGCAATATGTAACTAGTATATTGTTGCTTAAAAGAATATGAATATCAAGCATTAATTTTAAATTGTATTTAAGCTTCTAAAATATATTGTTTGTAGTCAAACTAATGTATATGTTAATATTTTTATGCAGTTTATAAAGAAACTATTGTATATTTATTACACAAAATGTTTTAGGCAATTTTTTGTTGATAAATAAAATTTTCTTAAAATTTGTACTACCTGTAGCCGTAGACCTACTATAGTTCGGCCGCTTAGAAAGCCACCTGCGCGCTAATGCTAACCAATGCTAGAGGAGGTCGCTTTCTAAGCGGCCGAACTATAGTCTGTGCTGTGATCTAGACATAGTGAATTATCTTTATGGTATAAGTCACACAGTATTTTAGTTACTTTACTTAAATATCACACTTAAAAGTCACCTTGTGTGCCAACGAGAATGAGAGGGATTTCTGCAGAGTTGCGAAAGTGCGCCATCTTGGTAAAGTAGCTGTAGATGGCGTTGAAACTAGCTTCGTTCTCAAGACTGAACACAAATATCACCGCATCCACCCACGTTGTGAACTGTAACAGAAATGAAAAATTTCATGAATAATTTAATTTGGGCTTGCTGAAATTATACATTGATTAGGGTTCCTATTGTAGAATCTTACCAATATAATTTAGATTTTTACCCAAATCATACAGAAGTTGTGATGCCTTTATTTAGCTTGGCATCATCCATAGCCGTCTCTCTCATAGGGAAATAGTTTCCTTAATATTTAGTATCCATTCATGGTTTTTTATTCTTTTGAATTGATCAAATTCTTTATGTTAAATGTATAACAGGTTAATTACCTAGTTCTAGGAACAAATAAACAGTCAGTAACTTTTTCACGGTTCAAAAATTAACCTAATTGTGTTTTATCTATTTCTTTAAATATGCCAAAATGATTGATTAACTATTAGCTTGAGCATCAGCTGTATGTAATAAGTGACAAGGCTAACATCTTATTTTTTAAAAACTCATCCTCTACTAGTATTGTCTTAAAATTATCACCCAATTGTTGGTTAAATCAAAATCTAATCAAATAGGTCATGTAACAGCTACAGACTTAGTCAATTCACTAATAGATGTATCTCATATACATTTGTATATTTAACAAAGTAATATCTTATATCTTATGAGTTAATTAATTGTTTACTGGTCCTACAAAACTATTTCAGCCAAACCTGTGTATAATGACTCTGAGAAGAATATGTAGCAAAATTAAGGAAATTTTTAGATTAGATAATTTTAAATTGACATTGTATGATCTGTGATTTCACTATATAAATGTCACATTACATAAGCCTTCTAATGTTTCTTGATAATCACACCAGTATTGTAAATAAATTTTATTTAACCACCTAAAAATTCCACCAATAGGCTAAACAACTAGATTTTTGATTCTTAGCCCATAATAATTAAAAACGTGTTTTTACTGTGACATGTTGTAGGTTAATCCAATATTGACTACACATATCCATGATTCTTTACAAATTGTTATATTGATGCCTAGATGCAGATTGAGGTTCAGATGTGGTTCAAATTTATTATATACTGCATAGAAATCTAATATTTGCCATGTAAAGATAAATTGATTTGGGTTTAACTTGAACAAATTTACTAGTTTACGGTTCCAAACCAGAGATTTATTATGTAGAATTACCGATTGAATAGCTACAATAGCAACTGTATTTTAAAACGAAATAAAAACATGTGCACTCGCTTCCACCAAACTTCCAAGACTTTTGAAATATAAACAAAGGGTTGAGTGAGGGGGTAGGGATTGAAAGGGCTAAAAATCCATTGGGATATTAATGACAGAGAAGTGTATTATGATCATGACTATGGAGGGAGGGATCAATAGTCAAGAACAATTCATGCATTCATATCTAATGCTGAGCCAGTTCAGTTCAATGAGCCTGGTTGGGTAATACACTAATAACGTTGATATTTCAAATTTTGATTCTCGATCATTTTGAAATTTTCTTTGACATACCTTGAATGAAAAACGGTAAATATATGCATTACATAAAAATGAAAAATTAAATTACATTTCATTTCATTGAATGCAATATACATTTTTACAACCTTTAGTGTTTAGGTTGTAATATTAGTTTATCAAACCAACGCCATTAAAATGAATATAATGATCGTCATAATGCGATATTATGGAACAAGAATAGTAAATAATAAATGAAATCATGTAAAAATAAAGTTGAAATAACCAAACTCCTTGAAGATTTTAATGAATTTTAGTTTCTATTAAAAAGTACCGGTAAACTACACATAATTTTTATGGTCCAAAATGATTTTCTACTGTTAAATAAAAATAATTATCAGTTTTTTTTTATAAAAGTATTTTTGAATAGTTTTGGCTTTTCATTTTTGGCATTATTTTAAATACTTATCGTTGAATATCATCTCCATTGTACATGATATATTTGGAAAAAAAACCTTTCCTCGTAACAGAGCCACTCAAAACCGTCTACATGTAGCCTAAATTTAATCAACAAAAATTGTACTGCAACAACTAAAATCTCCAAAATTATTAGGTTTAGGAAAAGATTACGATTAAAATTAAAACGTTAAAAAGTGTCATGTTAAAATATCATAGATAAAAAATTGTTTCATCTACGATAACATGTTGTCAAATACATTATACAAGCTTAATATTTCCATCTCCATTTTTCAAATATGCCACGGTATTGGAGAAACAGAGGCAATTTTCAAAATCTGAATTAATTGAAAAATGGTGCAAAAAAAGGTTTTACTCATCACATTGGTTGAATACTAGTCTAAACCACTATAGTCAATTCAAACAGAACTGGCAGTTGGTTAATACCAACTGGCCTATTTATAAACATTACCTTGACCAGCCACTTCTATTTGCTTCGACTATAGTGTTTGGGGGTTTAAAATTAAACTGTTGGGAGATTTCGGTTGTTATGTGAGATCAAATGAGCACATACACGATTCAAAATAAAATAAAACTTGTCATAATGTGTGGTAAAACTGTTATGTCGCAAGATTTAGGATTACTATTTTTTTAAGTTGGAATAAAAATGGAGGGTAAATTAAATCAAAGTAATTTAAAGTTACACCTGATAAAATAGAGGAAGTTCCTGATCACGTTTTGCAATCCAACTCTTTCTAAAACGTCGTATAAAAAGTCACATGCAGTAAAACATTAAGCTGGACTCTGTATTAGGTGCTTATAAATTAAAACCGTGGGGAAATTGGATATTTGATATGTGTAATCGCACGATGCAAACTAAAGGCGCCAGACAGGACCTATCGTGCAGGCGTGTGGGCGCCGACCACCCTCCCCAAACGTCGCCTCGCCGCGCCGCTATCAAATAAGGGGTTGTAGATATAAAGAGCCCGTGTACGTGTTGGGGTCGCATGTCCTTTAGCTTTACAGATTACTTCCCTTTTCATTGCAGTTTTTATTATCCAGCAAGATTTTTACCGCAAACAACCACATTGAGACGAATAACTTAACTATTCTGACAGCGTTATTTACATGGAAGAATTTGCATGGAGAATTGTTATGGATAAAACATCATATATTTGTTGTAATTGGTCAAGTTAATTTTAGAGTTTCAGCAAAGGACACAACTATAGAATACGCACCCTACGGCACGCACTTACTGAATTATTAAAGTATTTAAACGCTAAAAACATTCTAAAAACGCTTCTAAAAACTATTTGGTTGAAAACAAGGAATAAGTTTTGATCACCTTTAAAAATTACGTGACGAGAAACAAAAGGGTTTTACCTATTTTTTATTATTTTCAAACATACATACGTAGGAACCTTGTTTATTTCAGTGTTCGTATGTTCAACCATACAATTTTCTTTGAACAAGTAGTATAAATACAATACTTTATCTACTGTACATTTAACTTTGGATAATGAAAGTAGACTTTTCATCCTATTACAAATAGGAAGCCTGTTTCGATACGTGTTTCACGCTGATTGTTAAGGGTCGTTGATAACAACGAATTTTGATGACAACGCTGTATGTATATTTGATCTACAACCCTACTTCATATACATTATAACCTTGAGGAAAACAGAGAAAATCGAAGACAATAAGATTCAACTTCATGTAGGTGGCGATCACTTCCAATCAGATAAGAAGCTCTTCAAAGTTGTAGAGGAAAGTGCATTGAACTCCTCGGAGCAAGTAGAGCAGTTGTAAGGAGTGAGATTGTTGGCGGTGTGTCAGTAATTTACAGAAGTTGTAGCCTGAAGACGTTGAGGTCCTCCCTTTGTTCACAAGCCATTCTCTTGGCACGCTCCTTCCTACCTCTAGAGCTCTCGTCGCCTCTTCACGAACACCAAGAACCTACCGTCACGTTTTGTGGAAAACTCGGACCCTCAACAGAAAGTCAATTGGGAATGTAAAACCCCCCACGGTAACTACAAAACATGGAGAAATTGTGCTACTGCCCAATCCATTATATAATCCAATTTTATATTCTATAGGAGAGTTGTTTTTATGTATATTTAGGTACCTGATGAAAGAACAACTAAACCCAGTCAATCAGTGGTTTAATATAAAGGAAGGTAAAACTTTTGTCACAACACTGTTTTTTCGTCAAAGTGTACGCCAGGGGCATCTCATATGAATGGATAAAAAACGTACTAAGGGAAAACTATTCAGACCCCTAAATGTGTGCAGAAGTCCTAAGAACCGAACAGGAACGAACACCCAGAGCTTTTGCCCAGGTTTCTTTTCTTCCTAGGACGCTAGGCACGAGCCTGGGATTGTTTTTCACATTACTTCAGACTAGATCTAGGGGTTGCGGCATTATCACTTCCGATAATGAACCCGGGACCTCAGGGACTGAAGTCTCGCGCTCTAACCACTACGCCAGCTAGCTCCCCACTACAGCTTTTGCCCAGTAGACCAATAAATAATTATAAAGGCTAAGATACTAATTAAGATTCCAGATTAGCAAAATAGTGAAATTGGGATCATTAAAATGCTCAAACGTACTTAAACGTGTATAAAAATTATAATACTCGTAATTCTTTTGTAAATAATAAACACAGCAGGAGCTAGGCTATATATCATTGTAATTACATAAAACCCTGGATATTTTCCCCAGTACTTGTGTTGCAGAATAACGTGTGTATTTTATGGAAACCCCTCAGTTAATCTCAGTTATATTGTGAAAACATGATGGAAAACAACCCCTTCAGGAGATACTAGCGTATATGAGAGGGTGGAGAGGGGGAGAGAGGTGATTGGATATTTGAGATGTAACATCGAGTAATGGATTTTCCACGGCTCGCACATCTTAATTGCCAAACGCGAGAGGTGAAATATTTGGACTGAGAGGCATTAGTACGATAAGTGACGGCATTAGTGGTCTACAATTGTGGGTCGTTAATACGAAGAGTGCGACCAATTAGAGTGGAGATTGGGAAGCTTTAGCACGAGAATTTTGGAGAATTAGTACGAGAACTGAGGGGTAATCGTACAAGAATTGAGAAGTATCAGTACGATGCTTATGGTGTTTTAGAA